TCCAAAGTTTTCAATCCAAAACGCTAAGAATCCTGGTAAACGCTCCCTGGTTTGTCAGCAATCACACAATTCACTCTGATCTAAACGTTCCATATGTTAGAAATGAGATCCGGCGTATGGCAATTTTATACAATCAAAAAACAACAAACCATACCAACGAACTAGTTGAAGAGTTACCTACAAACGGTCCGCACTGGAGAAGACTCCGCAGAACCTGGCCCAACTTTGAACATATAAAGAATCCATTAGGAGCAGCATTAATGGATGCTGCCCTCGCAAGCCAAATAAATGCAACAAATTAACTTAATACTCAAATATGATGTAGATTGTAAATATGCGAATAAAATTTAAAATAAAATTTAAAAAAAAAAAAAATACAATGCAAACATATTTTCTATTATATTTTGCCGTTTAATTTCTACCAATTGCACGTCTGCATCATCTGCCCATGTTGGAAATATGATATGTTGACTTGTTACTGATTCAAACAACAATTAGAAATTAGAAAATTAATTATATAATACAAGTACATACTTATTTCTGGCAGTTCTGGTATAAGTGTGTCTACAGAAGACGAGGTGGAAGTAATTATAGGAATTGGTGGATTAGATGGGGTTACACTCATATCCCCAGACAAATCTAAAAAATAACAATTTTAAGTATTACTATGTAACACAATAATATATATACAGGGTGGTGACTTGCGTCACGCATCATAGGGATTTCAATGTAAAATTCATAACATGCCATTATTGGCTCCCCAAATTCCTTTAGAGCAAAAATGTATTAAGGTTTTTTGTAGAAAAAATTTTTTTACGTCAATCAACTGTATTAGTTTTCAATTTTTTGCATAATAAAGACGGAAAATTGGAAAAATAAGACCCCATCTTTTTCAATAATCTGTGATGCCATGGAATTTTATAATACAAAAACTACGCCAATATCCGTCATGCCATGGAATGTCTGCTATAAAACAAATCAAATTCTATCAAAAAGTATTATATTTAGAACAGCGAATTCAACAGAAAGAAGACCAAATTACTAAAAACGGTTTCCTAATATAACAATTTACAATAAATGTTCGAATAAGTCACCATTAACTGCAATACAGTAACCAAGTCGATCATAAAATCCATTTCGAACTGCTGCTAATTGATAACTGGATATCTTTTTGTTTTAGAAAATTCCATGGCATCGCAGATTATTGAAAAAGATGCCGGTTTTATTTTTCCAATTTTCCGTCTTTATTATGCAAAAAATTGAAAACTAATACGGTTGAATGGCGTAAAAAATGTTTTCTACAAAAAACTTTAATACATTTTTGCTTTAAAATAATTTGGGGAGCCAATAATCGCATGTTATGAATTTTACATTGAAATCCCTATGATGCGTTACGCAAGTCACCACCCTGTATATAATATAATAAGATATTTTAAAAAAATCAAAATCCGTTTCGGTAATTCGGAGGGGGAATCACAATGACATAGTTGGCGACGCACCCCCTCCAACCCCCTGTGCCCCAGCCACCCCAACTTTTAAATCTTAAATAGTGACCCCCATGTGTGATACGTCGTTGGAAAGCTCTGAAAAAGTGCTTTCCAACCATACCAAATAGCATTACATTTCGGTTAGTAATTGTCGTGCAAATCAAAAAATAAACATGGAAAATCGTATTTAACTTGAACTTCCAAAGCCGACTCGACAGCAACTCATTTTTGATCGCCAGTGATAATCTATTCTCAAACTCTTGTCGAACCTTTCCAATGTTGGTTTTGCAATATTTCGACATTCTTGAATTATTCTCTGTCTTAGTTCGTCTAATGTTCGCCGGTTGCGTTTTAAATACGACAGATTTCAAATGTATCATATTAGTTTATTTTTTGATTTGCACGATAATTACTAAATGTAATGCTATTTGGTATGGCTGGAAAGCATTTTTTCAGAGCTTTCCAACGACATATCACACATGGGGGGTCACTATTTAAGATTTAAAAGTTGGGGTGGCTGGGGCGCAGGGGGTTGGAGGGGGTGCGTCGCCAACTATGTCATTGTGATTCCCCTCCGAATTACCGAAACGGATTTTGATTTTTTTAAATATCTCGTTTATTTACTAAGATATGGGGGGTGGTAAGTTTTCAAATTGTCACCCTGTATAGGTTAAATTACCTTAAAAACGGTTAGAAATGTTTAAAATCTTTTTGATACTTTTCTATTGTACAGGGTTCTCCTAAATATGACGTACAACTTCATATACAAGGCTTCGTTACCTGTGTTTTTGAGATATTTAGCTAAAATTTGGAATATAAGTAACGAGGGGTAAATCACTAGTGGAAATAGGTGTACAGGTACGTGGAAATAAAATGGAAATATGTGGAAATAAAGTGGAAATAAATGGAAATAAATGGAAATAAGTGGAAATAAGTGGAAATAAATGGAAATAAGTGGAAATAAGTGGAAATAAAATGGAAATAAGTGGAAATAAAGATGAAATAGAACGGAAATAAGTGGAAATACAGTAGAAAAATTTCAATTAGCTACAAAAACGATGAATCATACTGAACGAAAAAGTGTTAAGTTTACTTAAGGTACTTTCTATCCCAAACTCTAAAAATGACGAATCAGGTAGATATCCTTCAACGAAAACAATACGTTTTTGTATTGGTAACTCGTAAAACCGCCTCGAAAACCGTCTAGTAGGTATCCTTTTTCAGCACTGTAGGCAGAAGTTGCAGTATTGCACAACGGGTGAATATTTTTAAATTACAGTTGTAAGCGAAGTTATAGTAACGGTTGTACCTCGTGGCTACTAGGCTACAATTATTAATTTTAATAGCATAGTGTGGCGCGAAGTGTCAAAAGCAGTGTGCTTGGTAGTGTGCTCGCGAGTGTGCTCGGTAGTGTGCTTTTGATTTGAAGACGGCAAATCTGAGGACAAATCTATCTTTTTTATGTTTATTATATCACAATCAGAAGAGGGTAAGAACATTTTTTTTCTCCTTAGAACATACATTAACATAATCGTCTTTTAGTTAAAAACCGTCACAGAAAGATTGTGAGCTATTAAATATACCTTTCAACGATTCATGGCAAAGTATTAAATATTTGCATAGCTACCACAGTGATGACAATGAACAACTTGAAGAAGGTGATACAAACAATACCCAACATACTTTTGGGATCGCTAATGAGGATACAGCATGCAACAACAAAACTAACTCTTTCGATGAAGTAGTGAAAAATGGAATAAACGAATTATTAACTGAAGACTCGATTTCTATGGAAGAGAATGAACAACCCGATGATGTTTCTAATGATCTCTTGAAAGGCTTTGGTGATACGTTACAATTAAAGGACTGCGGAAAACGTGATAAGAATTCCTCTTTTATAGATGTAAGAGTTGGCGATAAAGAACTCACTATTCGAAAATCATCGTTATGTTGGCTTCTGACTAATCAATCTTGCAAGATGAGTGCTGATCGGTTAATGAGATTTCGAAACTCTCAAAATTCTCCAGTGGCAAACAGTGATCATCAAAATAAATATGACCCTGTCATAGTCAACGAAAACTATTATGCCGTATATTACTATGACAACTGGTATATTGGACGTGTCTTAGAAGAACCATCCCCCAAAATGTATGTAATTAAGTTTCTTAAAGAATCGTTAGATTCATACGATTGGCCAAAAACAGACGACATTCAGAATGTCAGTGCAGAATATATTTTTTTTGGACCTATCACTATGTACGGTACAAAACCTATGACAATAAGTAAGTTTGATAAACAAAAAATTGTGGTCAAGTACAAGGCTTTGAAGCGCAAAGAATGTAATGATAAATAATATTACAGTTGTAGGTATGTATACCTATTCTATATTACTCGTTAGATTTTAGTTAATTAAGCAATATGTCATACTAATTCCGTTTTATGTATATTAACCTCAATATTAACATTATTAACTAGAACAATGTGCATCTTATTTTCTTATTATTCTTTTGCGTTAAAAATAGTTGTTATGAACCATTTTTTAAGAAATAAAATAAACCTTTTTTCAAATAAAAGGAAATTTATTTAATATGTGGAAATACAGTGGAAATATGTGCAAATAAAATGGAAATAAAGTGGAAATGTATGGAAATAAAGTGGAAATATGTGGAAATAAAGTGGAAATATGTGGAAATAAAGTGGAAATATGTGGAAATATTGTGGAAATATGTGGAAATAAAGTGGAAATATGTGGAAATATGTGGAAATATTAAGTGTAGTGGAAATAGGTGTACACAAATTACCTGCGTGATTTACCC